GGCCCTGGCCTGGCCTGGCCTGGCCTGGCCTGGCCTGGCCTGGCCTGGCCTGGCCTGGCCTGGCCTGGCCTGGCCTGGCCTGGCCTGGCCTGGCCTGGCCTGGCCTGGCCTGGCCTGGCCTGGCCTGGCCTGGCCTGGCCTGGCCTGGCCTGGCCTGGCCTGGCCTGGCCTGGCCTGGCCTGGCCTGGCCTGGCCTGGCCTGGCCTGGCCTGGCCTGGCCTGGCCTGGCCTGGCCTGGCCTGGCCTGGCCTGGCCTGGCCTGGCCTGGCCTGGCCTGGCCTGGCCTGGCCTGGCCTGGCCTGGCCTGGCCTGGCCTGGCCTGGCCTGGCCTGGCCTGGCCTGGCCTGGCCTGGCCTGGCCTGGCCTGGCCTGGCCTGGCCTGGCCTGGCCTGGCCTGGCCTGGCCTGGCCTGGCCTGGCCTGGCCTGGCCTGGCCTGGCCTGGCCTGGCCTGGCCTGGCCTGGCCTGGCCTGGCCTGGCCTGGCCTGGCCTGGCCTGGCCTGGCCTGGCCTGGCCTGGCCTGGCCTGGCCTGGCCTGGCCTGGCCTGGCCTGGCCTGGCCTGGCCTGGCCTGGCCTGGCCTGGCCCTGGCCTGGCCTGGCCTGGCCTGGCCTGGCCTGGCCTGGCCTGGCCCTGGCCTGGCCTGGCCCTGGCCTGGCCTGGCCTGGCCTGGCCTGGCCTGGCCTGGCCTGGCCTGGCCTGGCCTGGCCTGGCCTGGCCTGGCCTGGCCTGGCCTGGCCTGGCCTGGCCTGGCCTGGCCTGGCCTGGCCTGGCCTGGCCTGGCCTGGCCTGGCCTGGCCTGGCCTGGCCTGGCCTGGCCTGGCCTGGCCTGGCCTGGCCTGGCCTGGCCTGGCCTGGCCTGGCCTGGCCTGGCCTGGCCTGGCCTGGCCTAAACCTAACCTAACCTAACCTAACCTAACCTAACCTAACCTAACCTAACCTAACCTAACCTAACCTAACCTAACCTAACCTAACCTAACCTAACCTAACCTAACCTAACCTAACCTAACCTAACCCAGTCGCAGCCCATCCGCCGAGCGGAGCGCACACGTTCCGTGTCGCTCCGCACTTTTAAAAATCCGGAAAATAGTCAAAGTTTGAATATCAAAGTGAAAGTTATACCAAAGTGTAGTGTTTCGTGTTCTCTACACGGGAGTGTAATTATCTTGGACCTGGACCAAAAATTCCGGGACTTAGGACCTCATTTGGACCTTTTTAGGTTAAAAATTGACTAAGTTAAGTGGTTTCATGTGTGCGGCTCTCGATTTATCGCGGTAACCCCATGTTATTATTATGTACTTTTAAAGTGACTATGGACTTCTACATTCTGTGAAAATTTCAGATTTTTACCATGTGTTTTTACAAAGTTATGGACTTTTTTCCGAAAACCACGTGTCAGTGAAAATTGAAAATACAAGTGTCAGCAGGAAGTGTTATATATCGTTTTAACCGCCGTTCTGCGCCCTTTAAAACGATATATAGATCATGATCAGGCGACTTTTGGTTTTCGAGTTATCAAAGATTTTCGTGAAAAATTTTTTCGTCATTTCTTCGAGGGATTATATCTCGCTGGAACGATCGGTGACACCCCCTTTTGGACTTTTATTATGTTAGTGCTCAGTGCAAAGAACATTCCTGCTAATTTTCGGATTTTTCCCGTGAGTACTTTTAAAGATATTGACTTTTTACAAAAAACCACGTGGCGACAAAAGTGACATTTTTGTGCATCAGGGCTTTGTGTTATACATCGTTGGAACCGCCGTTCGACGCCCTTTTCAACGGTATATTAGACATTTTGCTCACTCAAAAATTTCTGCCAAAAATCGCTTTTTGCAGAAAATGGTCAGCCCACCTTGACTTTGAAAAATTTTTGTGAAGTGCAGTGAAGGACTATAATTATATGAACATTACTAGCTTATAGAACATTTATTCAAGTGCAATCCAGACAATTTTCATGACCCTCAGTCAAATAGTGTATTTTTAGCGAATTTTTTCCCGGAAGCGGTACAAATCCGCCATTCCCGCATAAGTTTGTAAAGCGCGGTCGCTCGAAACTAAGCGTCGGAGAGCAGTTCTGACCGAATTTTCGTTCACTCTGTGTGAAGCAATTATAAGGGCAACCAACATCTTGAGCTTTCCACCACCTCCAGAATCGAAGATTTTTGTACTTCGAGGGGAATAACTCCTGGACCCGAAGAGCTGGTCAGGTCCCGACCATGGGGGATCAGAGTAGAGGTCCTGGCGCAACGGGGACAGGTGACCCCCCCCTCCTCCCCTCCACCATTGAGGAGATATCATGTGTGGACTCCTTTCAAAACGTTCTTGGAAAATTGCTTACATGCATTATAGAAACAGTTAACGACGGTAAACACGTAACTGCTGCCAACCGAAGAAAAATCGTTGCGGCTGCCGAGGAAATCCGCTCAGCAGCCCGCATATTACCTGGCATCATTGGCGCACCACTCCAGTCGTCTTCGCAATCTCCCATCGCCTCCGATGACCTTAAAAAGGATATTATTGATGCGGTGCGAAAGGAGATGACCAGCTTTAAGCAGCAGTTCGCTGCTGCCCACCAGCCATCACCTATCATGACTCATGCCCAGGCAGTCCGTGCAACTCCTTCTCGGTCTGTAACTTTCCCGATAGCTTCCCCTCCTACCCCTCCCGTCTCCAAACCCGCCCTCATCGTATCATCGAAGAAAGAATCTTCATCTTCTTCTGACACGTTAAACTGCTGGAGGAAGAACGTGTCCTTCCGGGACACTAACTTCGCCCCGGCGGGCGTCCACTTTGTCGCGAACGGCAAGCTGCGCGTCGAGTTCGACCGTCCAGAACAGCTGGAGGTCGCTATGAGGAAGATTGGAGAGTCCAACCCCGAGATCCAGGCCGAAGTCTCTCGTAAGTTAAGACCTATGTTCATTGTCAAGGGTGTTAGCTCTGATATCTCCGCCACTGATCTTAAATATATCATCATTAATCAAAACGAAAATATCAAAGCTAACATCCGAAACGAAGCCGACATTGAGTTTAAGTTTAAACGACCCAATAGAAACTCGAACCTTTATAATGCCGTATTTGTCTCTGCTCCTTACCTTTGGCGTCATGTCGTTCAATCACTTAAGCTCAACGTCGACCATCAACGTGTTCACGTTGAAGATTTCACCCCGCTCTTACAATGTTTTAAATGCCTCAAGTTTGGTCACACCCGTAAATTCTGCAAGACCGAGGAGACCCATTGCTCCCACTGTGCTGATTCCAACCATGAATTTAAAGATTGCCCTGTCAAAAAAGACTCTCATAAGCTAACGTGTTACAACTGCAAATCATATTATAAAGATAAGAACAGTGAGAGCAAGGGGCCTCTAGATCACGGGGCAGCTTCAGATGCTTGTCCAAGGAAGCAGTTTATGGTCGGCCGAACTAAATCCAAGGTTGATTATGGATCATAGTTCTTTAAATTATAACACCCTTAGTTCTACATATATCTCTAACAGTAACAATTATAAAAATTCCATACAAATCAACCTTGGACGTAGTCGTAACGCTCTACACGAGCTTCTTACTTATATTTCAGATAGCGCACCTGAGTTTGTCTTTATTACTGAACCGTATACTAGTAACATTGACTCTTTAAAAATGACTAACTCTGACTATACACTTTATCAATTCCCTACTTCCCGTCCCACCCTTGCAGCCCTTGCTATCCGAAAAAACACTATTTCCACCCTTGGTATTTCGTCGCATTCCACCTCTAATCTTTGCATTGTTCAATGCAGAGATCGTGTCTCTAACAGAAAGATTTTTCTTATTTCTGTGTACATAGAACCTCGACATGACGTATACAATACTTTAACTAACTTAGAACAATTTATTTTATGTAATAATAACGCATCATTTCTAATCTGCGGAGATTTTAACGGCTGGCACGGTTTATGGGGTTCTAGAGCTAACAATGATAGGGGAGATCTAATCTTTGACCTTATCTGCAATAATAATTTCATTATACATAACACAGGCAACTCACCTACATTCCACACAGTCACACACCAACTTCCACGCCAATCAATCATAGATCTCACACTCACTAGTAATTGCTCACACATTCATATAAATAATTGGTCAGTTAATTCCGGTCTAATAATCAGTTCAGATCATTTTCCTATTACTTTCAAAGTTTCATTTAATAACATTGCATTAACTAAAAACAAAAAACTCTCTACATTTAGATACAACACAACCTTCATTCGTTGGAAGGACATACAGGACAAATTTGCAGATGAGGTCGGGAGGGAGCTCCCCTCCGTAGAGGCCATAAACTCCGCGAACTCACATGACCTAGATAATATTATTAACAAACTTACCTCGACTTTACAAAAGACATGCGACAAGTTACTCCCCCGGTCCCGTCATGCCCCTCCCAAAGCTCCCTTCTGGAATGAAAATCTACAGTTATTAAAAGAAAAGGTTCTTCACGCACACCACAGGTTGTGTCGATTCGTACGACGCAAACTACCCCTGAACGAGGTTATCGCTGAGAGGGATAGAGCTCGAAGAGAGTATTCGATTGCTTTCTGCGCTGCCTCTACTGAACATTTCAGAGAATTTTGCACCAGGCAAACTAAAGAGGATGTCTGGTCCGTTACTAATAGAATCATTAAAACCAAACCCCTTTCCCAACCACCCTCTACCCTCCGCCTCAGTGACGGCTCCTATACTTCTTCTACATACGACACTGCTGACGCTCTTATAAACAATTTTTTCCCCGACGACACTAATGACGTAACTGACACTCAAACCGCTATTAGGGCATTAATGAGTCAATCTATTAATACTCCCTCCGAACCTAACTTTACCTTAACTGAAATACTTAATGGACTCCGACAAATGAACAATAAAAAAGCCCCAGGAATTGACCATTTGACCTCTGACATATGTTTACAGTTTGCCACTAGCTTTCCCGAATTCATTACAGCTTTATATAACAAATGCCTCACGCTACAACATTTCCCACGTCCCTGGAAACACGCTGTAATTAAAATCATCCCTAAACCCGGCAAAGATAATTACTCCCAACTATCCTCCTTTCGCCCTATTGGACTCATTAATGTCCTCGGAAAACTACTCGAAAGACTTATAATTGACCGACTTACCTTTCACCTTAATCGACTACAACTTAGCAACCCTAGACAGTTCGGGTTTAAACAGCAGACTTCCACCTCTACAGCAATTATTACCGCTCTAGATTTAATTAGATCTAAGAAGGCTAACGGGGAGCACGTTATCGCTGTCTCCCTCGATATTAAAGCCGCGTTCGATAATGCGTGGTGGCCTGCTGTTTTTGCCCGTTTACGACACTACGACTGCCCTAGTAATATATATTATATACTCCTTAGCTATGTACAAAATAGAACAGTAGGCATTGACTTTTCCGACATATCTGCGACTAAGACTATGTCTAGGGGTTGCGTTCAGGGTTCCGTATGTGGTCCCACTATGTGGAACCTAATTATGGACGAACTACTTGACATTGACCTCCCCACTGGTTGCCACATTCAGGCCTACGCTGATGATGTCCTACTCATCACTCACTCAACATCCCTCTCCGACTTACAGACTATAACTAACAATGCACTTGACTTAATCTATAACTGGGGTTCAAACGTTAAATTACGCTTTGGCCCTGACAAGACAACCCTAACCGCGTTCACTAATAGGGCAAACTCAGTTAGCGTTATTATGAATAATGTACAGTTAGAATTTGTAAGTAGTTTTAAGTATTTAGGTATAATCATAGATAATAAGTTTAAATTCACTTTGCATTCAACGTATATCATCGAAAAAGCTAAGAAATTGTTTCATAAATTATTATTATTTACTCGGCCCACTTGGGGCATCCATTCCGACAACATACGCACTATTTACGAGCAAGTAATTATTCCTATTATCTGTTACGCCGCTAACATCTGGTCTAATTCATTAAAATATAAATTCATAGCTAAAAAATTCTTATCACTACAACGTTTATTTGCTATTAAGATAGTACATGGTTTCCGCACTCTCAGCACTATTACTTCTATTTCCTTAGCTCAACTTATCCCTCTCCCTGAAAAGATAAAGTCCGTCGCCACCATCGAAACCTCTAAACACCTTGGTTACTCCTCTTTCCTTCCCTCTGATATTCCACTAGAAAAACCTTCTCCCCCGTCGTCTCTATTACATCCGTCCCTTCGCACACCTATCACCTTCACCGAGATTAGCTCGATGGAGGAATTCTCATCCCTTAGTATAAATTATTCCTACCATATATTCACAGATGGCAGTAAACACGATGGCGTTGTTGGCGCGGCATTTGTGGCATTTGATCCATGCGAAGTTTACGTCACTAAAAAGTTTAAGTTACACCCTTCTTGTTCTGTATTTCAAGCTGAAATGCTTGCAATCCACAAAGCATGCGAGTGGATTGCCTCCAATAGTAATAACATTAACTCCTGTATCATTTTCTCAGACAGTAAATCTTCTCTACAAGAATTATCAAACCCATATTCATATAATACTTTTGCCGTTAACATCTTTCACCTCCTACATACCTTATCGTCTAGCAATATTAATGTCGGCTTCGCATGGGTCAAGGCACACATCGGCATAGCCGGCAACGAGATCGCTGACATTGCTGCGAAATCTGCTGCCTCCCTTCATAAATCACCTGACTTTGTTCACACCCCTATTTCCCACATTAAACTACTATTACGCGACTCACTTATGGACTCGAGGAAATTATTCTACGAACAACCACTTACCTCATGTCATACTAAAAAATACCTTCCGACATTTGATGACCTCTCCGCATTCCTCTCTGTTATTAAACCCTCTTTTGCCATAACTCAATTTCTTACAAATCACTCCTTCAATAAATCTTACCTTCATAGATTCAACATAACGCCCGACGATCTCTGCCCTTGTGATAGTGCTGAGAAACAAACATTTGATCATCTAATATTCTCCTGTCCACGATTTAGTAACACCCGTTTAGATTTCTATATTTCTTGTAATAATTTTAAAATTGACGCACAACAACCTTTGTTTTTAACCAAAGTAATCAAGAAATGTGAAACAACAGATTTATTCGTTAAACATATAGAAAATATTGTAAATAACCTTAAAGCATTTAATAATACCTAGGCTAATCTAATTTAAGTCAACCATTGCTATTATTAAAAATTAGTTATAAGTTAGTTTTAAGTTAATATTGTAATCTTAATAAAAAACCCTGTTTGCGAGTCTATACACCAATAAATGTACACACACACACACACACCCCGAGAATTCTGGCGTAAACCATAAGCGCCGTTTCTAAAGTCTTCGGGTTCTCTCTCCTCCTCGGCCCCGGAGCAATGCTGCCGGGGATGGTAGGCTTAGTAGGACCCAAACATTTAAAAAAAAAAACCTAACCTAACCTAACCTAACCTAACCTAACCTAACCTAACCTAACCTAACCTAACCTA